ATGCCGAGATGCCCACCTCCACCAGCTATGGCAATTGTGCCTTAAGGACTGTGCTGTTAAATAAATTAGGAATTAATTTTTTTAGTAGCATGTGTCTTCAGGTTGGGTGACTATGAAACCTACCCATACTCAGTTCCATTCTTGAAACAGTAAGGACAGGATGGAGGAGAGAGTAAGAAGAGTAATACATTTATCAACATATGTATTGGTACAAAATAGAGATCTAAGCTAGAGGATTTGGAGGAGTAAGAGAAAAGCGAGATGAAAATACACAGGGTGAACCCCAATTATACAGTAAGAAATGGGATTACTAGGGACAGGGAGGGTGTCTGTGAAAGATGGCAGACAGAGGCAGCTTGGTGGCAGGTAGTGGGATCTGGGCATGAGAAGTTAGTGGGAGTTTGGGAGCAGGACGTCTAGGAGTCAGCTGTGACATCGATGCTGTGTTTGATCGTGGTGAGAGGCAGCTGAAACAAAACTGAATGCACAAATCCAGGTCACACAGCCTTCTAGAGAGGCACACGAGAGTGGCACTGCATCCCTAAAGGCGTTAGTTCTCTTCAGCACTCCCCTGAGTCTCTGTTTCTGACTCCCACGAGTCTTCGTTGTTTCTTTCATGGCGTTTGGTGTGTGGTGCCTTGTAAGGTGTGTGGCTTGCTCGCGCTAATTTGTCGTACCGAGTACATCACGGACACAGTACATGACGAGCACCTCAGCGGCCGAAAGACCACGGCAGCTCCCTGTGCACTGCTGTGACGTGAGTGGGGATGTCAGCCGGTCCCGTGGAGATGCTGTGAAGTTGAGCCAAGTCTCTGGAGTGGCCACATGCCCCCAGAGAGTGCAGTGCTGTGTGCATCTTCTGATTGGATGTGTTCGGGGAGCAGGGCAGGCCTGGCATCCACAGCATCCCGACAGCTGCAGCTACTCCTCCTCTCTTCAGGACTCCGGCCCAAGATGAAGCCTAGTCCTGGATTCTTTGTCCTCGCTTCCTGAAACAACCATATTCCTTGTTTTTGTTTTGTTTTTAGCTTTTTACCATAGGGCATGTGTGCTTGCTGGAGAGAGACAAAGAGAAAGGAAAAGTGAGAAATCACCCACCCTCCCCCACCAGGGAGATGGCCACATCGCAATCCCTTCTCCTCAATTATCCTCTTGGGAATTTGGGCATATGCATATGCCTGGTGGTTTTTTTTTTAATTTTTAATTTTATTTATTCATTCATTTATTTTAATTTGACCAGAGACAGAGCAAGAGAGAGGGAAAGTGAGAAAGCAAGCCACCAGGTCCAGGACTTGAACCATGGTCAGCCATGTGGGAGTGTCCAGCACCTTCACCACCATACCACCCTCTGGTTGTTTTTTTTTTTTTTTTTTTTTTTTTTTTCAAGCTACTGTATCCAGGACTCCAACAGCAGCCAGTCATGTGGGATCTGGTACCTTAGCCACTGTGCCACCTGCTGGCCCCACACTGTCACTGTTTGCCTTATTATTTGTATACGACTTCAGACTTCTCAGTGGAAGGCTTCACTCCGAGTCTTAGTGCTTTGGCCAGATGGGAGGACTTATTTTTTTAGAGAAAATTTTCCTATAGGGTATGTATATTTGCCAGAGAGATAGAGAGAAAGTAAGAAATCACCCTCCAGGGAAGATGACCATGCCACAATCCACTCTCCCCCATTCTCCTCTTGGGATTTTGGGCACATGCACACTTGCCTGGTGTAAATTTCAAGCCTCTGGGTCTGGGATTCGAACTGTGATCACCATGGGAGTCCATTGACGTAATCACCACTGCTGGTCCTGAGATTAGAGGACCTTTATGAGACAAGGTGAGCTAGTAGATTTGCAAGAGGATGGTCTCCCTGGGTGGCTTTCTGAGGACGGTTGGTCTCTGTTGCTCTCTCTTGCTTTTTCTTTGTGGAACACTGTGTCCCATACATGGCTGGGTAAATACCCACCAGGGAGCCCAGTACTACACGCTGAGAGGTAGGTATTGGGTCCGCGTACTCACTGTACAGGTCGCTGTCCCTGATGGCACAGGGACGACTCCCAGGAGTCTGAGCGCTCTCCCCTGTCGATGAAGAGCCCTGTGTTTGCCCACGATTACGGCCAGGTTAACGAGTTAACTGCTATGAAGTGAACCCTAGGCCATCTAATACTCTTGTGGACTGGTTCTTGGTCTCAAATGAGACCCTTTCAGAGGGAGGTTCTCTCCTGCTGCTGTAAGGCCTATCTCAGTGACTCCATGGTCAGCACTTCCTGCGTGGTCCCGAGGGCCTGGTGACAGTGATGAGAACATCTAGTCCAGCCATCTCTGCAACACTCCAGGGCTCAGCACACGGCACAGGTCAGAGCAGCTGGTCTCAGCCGCTGGCCTGTCCTTACTCTGTTCCTGTTTTTTCAGGGCTTCAGCTATGTCCTCCATGAGGGTGAGTGCTGTGGAAGGTGCCTGCCGTCTGCCTGTGAGGTGATGACTGGCTCGCCGCGCGGGGACTCGCTGTCTTACTGGAAGAGTGTAGGTCTGGGCCCGGGGAGACGGGGAGGAGGGCAGTGGTGCGGCAGCCTGGGAGCCTGTTCGTGGTTCAGTGTTGACCTTGGCGTTACCTCATTCCCTGTTCCTCGCTTTGCCCAAGGGGAGTTTCACTTAGTCATTGGGGTTATCCAGGTGTCAGCTGGGATTACCTTGCCCCTCAGGAACCAGTTAAGACTGCCTCAGACTTCGCATTTTACAGATTTTGGGAAAAGCCAATGCCTTCCCTATGCGCGTGAATTCCCGGATGTATGCTTCCTGTTTCCTTGTGGGTCTTGGGCTGGCTTCGCCTGAGGGGCTTCAGAGCAGCCTCCCTACTTTGGGCCGGGGCCAAAGGGCTGTCCTCTGTAAGGGACCCAGACAGAGTTCTCAGACCCTTTCATGGATTTCTGTTGAGCTCCTGAGGGTTTTAGAGCAGTAGAGACACTTAGAACCTGGAGAAGCAAACTGCGTTTCTTTCCTCAGAGCCCCTCAGCTGTTTCTGTAAGACCCGCTGTAGCAGCTCGCCATGTTGCTAGTCTCCTGTCCACGCCTGTCCTCTCCTGCCTGGCCCTCACCCCAGCCTCATTCCTCTGTCATCTTTTTTATCTTTGTAGGTTTTTACCATAGCATGTGTGCACTCACCAGAAAGAGACGGAGAGAGAGGGAAAGTGAGAAATCACCTTCCCTAGGGGGGATGGCCACACGCACTCTCCAATCTCTTCTCCATTCTCCTCTTGGGGTTTGGGCACGCCTGCACGCACATGCACCCAGCACGATTTTTCAGGCTGCCAGGTCCTGGACCAAGTGTCTACCAAGTGGGAAGCTAGCACCTTAGCCACCATGCCGCCTGGTGCCTCCCTCGTTCCTACTTCTTCTTTCGGGAGAGATTTTCTTTTTGCTATAGGGTTCATTTGTTCACTGGAGAGACTGACAGAGACAGAAAACAAGAAAGCATCTCCCTGCCAAGGGTAATGGTCATGCAGCAATCCCTTCTCCATTCTCCTCTTAGGATTTTGGAGATGCACACACACGCCCCTGGCATGAGTTTCAAGTCACTGGGTCTGGTTCAAGGCTCGAACCTCGGTCTGCTGCGTGGGAGTCTAGCGCCCTAACCACCACACCACCTGCTGGGCTCCCTCATTCCTACTTCTAAGGCAGAGTAGGTTAGCTGTCTCTGCCATGGCTTTCGGGTACTTACCTTGACTCTGGGTGCTCGTCATGCCATTTTCGTGGACGCAGACTCCCTCTTTGGGGAATCTTAGCCCAAAGGCCAGGATGATAACAGCTCCACTCTGCTCAGAAGGGTGAAGTGGGTAGTGCTGTGTAGGCAGCCTCAGGAGCAGGTGCTGAAGAATGTAGGTGCCCAAATGGCCCGTCTCTGTCTCCTTCCAGTAAGACGCATACGCTTTAGGGAGAAGGGCCGAGTAACGGTGTTACCCTTGAACCTGCCCCATCTCCTCCCCAGAACCATTGCCTTTCTCTACCCCCTCAACAGTAACAGAATGACACACTGAGTTTTTTCCAGATGGGTTTCCATCTCCCCTTTTGACTCCAAGTAACTGGTGGATTTCCCTCCCTTACGTCCTCCCTCTCCAGCCTCTTAGTTTCTCTGTTCCCCATGCAGCCTGCACTGAGGCAGATTTTGTCCCGCCTCCGAGGTGAGCCCCAGCTTAGACCAGAGGCTGCTCCAACCCGGTAGGGGCAGAGAGCTGGTCCCTTTGAGACTCCGTGCCTCTCCCTTTCTCCTTCCATCAGCTCTCACAGCCCTGCCCGGCACTCGTGTGTACAAAACAGGTGGCCTGAGTGTCTCTCCTCCAAGTCAGGTCTCTAGCTCTCCTGTGAGACTTGGGCATCAGCAAAGGTTTTGCTGCTGGAACATGTCAGGGACCAGCGGGGTGGGTGGGAGTGGTCCTTGTAAGGGACCCCATGGCCAAGGCCCAGCAAGTAGGTGATCAGAGGAGGGAGAGGCCTGAGGGTGGGATCAGCCCTGTGGTGGGCGGGCCTGGTTACGGGTGTGTGTGTGTGTGTGTGTGTGTGTCAGAGTTGGGGGGAGGGAATGGGCACAAGTATCTGGAGTTTTCTGCTCCTCACCTGGAACAAGAAGAAAGTGAGCAAGAGCTGAGAGAAGCAGGCCAGGACTTGGCGTGGGCCGGCAGAGGGCACAATTCATGCATCTGGATGTGGCCTCCACCGCGTCACTTGCCGTGACAGGTTTTGGGCAGATTCTTCCTGACTCTTCTGAACACTGTCTTAGGTCTTTCTGGTGTTCTTTGCCCGTGAAGCCACCCTGGACGCCAGGCTGCCCTTCCATAGCCCAGATGCTCTGGGGACAGACTGCAGGGCGAGGGCCCGAGACCAGCCCTGTCAGTCTCCTGCCGTTTCCCACCTCCATCCCAGTGAGAAGTAGCACCAGGCTGGCATGGAGCTGTGCTTCCTGTCGGCCAGCCTGTGCTGCTGTTTTTGCTTAGAGTGCCCTGGAGTCTCTGAGCTCAGCTCAGAGCCAAGGCTGAGAGTGGAAGGGGTGTTCCCGCTCCCCTAAGGTGCTCACTCAGGTCACTGGCCGTAGATCACATGACTCTGAGCTGGGATCTTGCTCAGGGCAACTTCACCCATGAACAGCGCTCTGGAATGAGCCCCATTTACCCCCTCTGGGGGCCTTTCCTTGTCGGTGGGGCTTAGATGTTAAGCTGGGGCTCATCTTCTGGGCCAGGCCAGCTCCTGGGAGAGCAGCACGCTCTCGCTGGGTCCTCGGGCCCCACCCTGGCCCCAGACACTGACTAACTCTGGTTCTGTCCAGGTCGGCTCTCACTGGGCTTCCCCGGAGAACCCCTGCCTTATCAACGAATGTGTCCGAGTGAAGGAGGAGGTCTTTGTGCAACAGAGGAACGTGTCCTGTCCCCAGCTGGAGGCCCCCACCTGCCCTGCGGGCTTCCAGCTGAGCTGCAAGACCTCCGAGTGTTGTCCCAGCTGTCGCTGTGGTAAGGCACTCTGGGCAGGGCCTGGGGATCCGTTAGGAGCCTCTGTCCACTCCGGCTCCTGAATTCTTTGCCTGCGACTCAGGGAGGTGGGCAGGACTGAGATCATCCCATGCCTCCCTAGTGCCTTATAAGAAGGCAAATGCCGGTGGGAAAGCACCTGAAGGCCGCTGTGCCCGGAGCTGAGCCTGGGGACGGCCTTTGACCATCATCCGGTCACCTCATGCAGTCCTCACACAGCCTGCGAGGTGGGCACGGTCCCTGCCTCGGCTCGTCACACGACACTCGGGTGCAGCTGGGATTTGGTCCTGGCTTCTCTGATTCTGTAGATCCCTCGCTGTCACGTGCTGCGTCGCCTCACCAGGGAGGAGCGGGCACTCCAACCGTCTCCCTGTGGCCCTGCCAAGAGGCAAACAGACATGTAGCAATGACAAAAGCCAGTTCTGTCCACCACTTGGCTCTGAATTCTTTGGGACTTTCTCTCGGGACTGAAAGTTCCAAGAGTTACATTTCATTCTCTCATAAACCCACACACCCACTCCTCCTTTAAGTGGGAATCCACATGAATAAGCGCGCCCACTTGGAGCAGCGTAAGACCCTCCTCACTGGAGGCTGGTTGGGGTGGGACCGAGGCAGCCCTGCCCTTGCGGGTCAGCTCTGAGGAGGAAGGCCACCGTGCTGCTGGCACTAGGACCCTTGGTGCCCTGGGTGGGGTTGGGGAAAGACCAGAAGACAGGAGGGAGCCTGGAGGGAGGATCTACGGTGTCCTGCAGCTCACACTCTGCCCTTCTCTCCCCAGAGCCCCTGGAAGCCTGTATGCTCAATGGCACCATCATCGGGGTGAGCCGCTGCCCCTTCCCCAAAACAGGATGTGGGGACCTGGAGGAGGGCCTGGGGCTGGGGGCGTGGGCAGCCAAGTCATTCTGAAGCAGCAGTGGAAGGAGCCAGGGAGACTCACCCCTGACCACACTTCCTGCTGCCTGCGGCACTTCCGGAAGGGGCTGGTACCCTCTCCCTGCTCCCTGGGCTTGGGCCTCTGTCTTGTGCTCGCCTCCTGGCCCTTCTCCGGAGAAACACTCAGAGGGCATCTGTACATTTCTTCCCCTCCACCGTCCTGGCTGCCTTTTGGGCATGAAAGCGGCCACACCCACCACCCGATGCTGGAGGTGGGAGGTCAGGCTGGGGGTGGGCCACCAGGGACAGGAGGAGCATCAGGGTGCTGGGTCCTGAGCACTGCGGCCAGTGTAGGCGGATGTGGGAGCCAGGGTTGGGGTGCTAGGGAGGCTGACTGGGGTGCCTCTGCTTCCAGCCTGGGAAGAGTGTGATGACCGACGTGTGCACCACTTGCCACTGCACCGTGCAGGCGGGAGCCATCTCTGGGTTCAAGCTGGAGTGCAGGAAGACTTCCTGCAGGGCCTGCCCACTGGTAAGAGCCGGAGGATGGAGTGGGGGCCAGTGGCCTGGGTACTTGTGGGACACTTAGTGGCTCAGACAGGGGACTTCACTGGAGCCTTTACGTAAATCTTTCAGTATTTTCTGATTAGGGACAATATTCGACAGCTATAAAGAAGAGAATGAAAGCTACCTGCCCAAATTGCATCTCTCAGAAATAATTATAGTTTCATAGATTTTAGACATTTCATTTCTACTTTTTTAAAATAAGCACAATATTTGTGAGACTTATGATACTATATAGTGTTGCATCCTTTTTGCATAACACATTAAGAAACATTATTACCGTCTTTTGAAAATATCAAAAATTAGTCAACAGTATTTCTTTCTTTTTACTCTGTGCTCATTAGAGAGGGACAGAGAGAGAGAAACAAAGGGAAAGTGAGAAATCACCCCTCAGAGGGACAGCCATGCTGCAGTCCCTTCTCTGTCATTCTCCTCTCTGGATTTTGGGCATACATGCGCATGCACCTGGTGTGATTTTCAAGAACTTAAACCGCTCAGTGGGCCATGTGGGATCCAGCCACCTTAACCTCCACACCACCTGCTGGCCCTGGTCATCAGTGTTTATCAGACACTTACCATGTGCAAAGCTCTGCCACCACATACACAAACCAAAATTTTAGGTGATTTAAAATAACTCTTACATTTTTGCCGTGGTACGATGGCTCTTTTTGCTCTAAATACTTTCCTTAAGATGGATTCTGAGCAGTGGGACCATCCTTTATGGTGTAGTAGATAGAACTGGCATTTTGTCATTTTGTGGTTTTTGCCCTAGGATGCATGTGCTCACTAGAGAGACTGAGAGGGAAAGTGAGAAATCACTCCTTGAAGGGATGGCCCACCACAGTCCCTTCTCCTCTGTTCTTTTCCTGGGATTTGGGGCATGCGCACATACTCACCTGGTGTGATTTTCAGGCTACCAGGTCTGGGATTTGAACCACAGTTGGCTATGTGGAGTCCAGCACCTTAACTACCATGCCACCTCCTGGCCTCCATTTCATCGTTTTAAATAGGACTTTTAGCCCACTTTGCTGGGATTTTATAAGCCTCATGTAGGTGGGACAGGACCTAAAGTTCAGGGGAAGCCTTAGCTTCTTCCTCCAACTGCCCTCTGTCTTTAGAGTTCTGATGTTTTAGGAAATGCATTGGTCAGTGCTGGCGCCACAGCGCAATGGTTAAACCCTGCACATAGAAAGCCAGATCCTATGTGTCTGACCAGGGTTCAAATCCTAGCTCTGGTGACTTGAAAAACACACCGGACATGTGTGTGTGTGCCTAAAATCTTGACAGGATGGAGAAATGGAGAAGGGACTGAGGTGTGACCACATCCCAGTGGGAGTGTTTTTTTTTTTTTTTTTTTTTCTCTCTCTTTTTTCTCTGGCAAGTGAAATGCCTACTGGTAATTAAAATAAAGAAAAAGAGAAAGAAAATACATTGGTCAGATGAGTTTCATGTTAGCCAGATGCATGAAACATAGTAATAACTCTTCCAGATGGCATGAGGCATGGCCTCCCCAAGCCGCAGCTTTGTGAGGCACTTGGTGGGCTATGGTGGAGGTGGGTGTGGGGTCTTTCATACATAGAGCAGCGTAGTGGCCAGAGGGAGCGGACATCTGGAGGGAGGCAAGGACTAGGAGCAGGGTGGGAGCTAGGAGGTCAGGTCCACATCTGTATTCTCCATGGCACTTTGCAGTGTTGTGCTCAAAAGCAGGGGCTTAGTAAAACAGGTGAGGTGAGTAGGTCTGCAGAAGACAGCTACTTCCTGTTCAGTGGTTCAGACAGAATATGCCTGCCTCAGTTAGAAAGAAGCTAACTAAGTATGTGTTTTTGTTTTTCCTTCTTTTTTTCCCCAATATCCTAGTTTATATTTTTGGATTTGGGGCTGTGTGTGTCCGTATGTATGCACATGTACTCACATGTGTTTGTGTAACAGCCCTTCTGGAGAACATCTGGGCTTTGATATGGGATTGAAATGATGCCATCTGGAGTTACAAGTTTTCCTTTTTGCCTTGGATGTCCACTGAACTGTGAGCCAGCAGGAGGTCCACACTGTGCTGTCCTGCAGGGGAGGAGCTGGTAGCTGGTTTTCCAGAATGCAAGGCTGCTAACTCCATGACAGTGCCCTCTGGTGTTCAGAAGGTGGCACGGCAACCTCCTCTATGGCTGGAGAAATCGAGAGTCAGGTTTCTAAATATTCAGAAGTCCACGGCCTGTTTTGGTTTGTGTGCTGTTCTTCTCTTTCTTTTCTCTTCCTCTTTTCTTCTTCTTCTTTTCCTCCTCTTCCTCCTTCTCCTTCTTTTCAGCCAGCACGAATCATGGGCATGTGTGTGTCTGGTATACTCAGGGAGGTCTCTGGACTTGAACTGGGAACCTTCCCAACCTGAGTTTGCCTTGCAGAGTATTGTTTTTGACTTCTGCACCACTGTTTGGCCCCCTATATTCTTTTTGTCCTCTGAAATTCTGCTGTCTCCCTGGAGCCGTGCACCCTGTCTCTCCTTCTTAGAACCCCCAGACTGGCCTTTCCTTCACATGTCTCTCAAACCTTGGTAAAACTTGCCCCAGATAGCGCCATTCTAGCTCTGAATCCTTGACTGGTCTTAGTATACTCCTCTGCCTTGAAAGGCCTCAGCAAGACCTCCGGGGTGAGGGGAGTGGCTTTGATTTAAGTCTAGGAGGGTCTTCTTGAACTGCCCACCTCAGACTCAGGGTGAACATCACCTGGGATGTGAGCTCTCTGTTGCTTCCTAGGGGAGAAAACGCTTATCCCCAAAGGGAGGTGGCTGTGTTGGTGAGTGGAAGAAATGAACACCCTAAGGAAGACCGGGAAGGCATCCCAGAGGGAGACGGCCCTGAGCTGACCTGGAGTAGTGGGTCAAAGGTCAAATAGAGGACCTTCTAGAAAGGGGGAGAGTGAACACTGGCAGACAGAAGCGAGGATTAGGACGGAGGAGAGGGGAGATAAGACTGGGGCTGATGAAATGCACGGAAGGGAGGTGAGAGGTGTGCAAGGCCGAGTGTTAGGGAGACGGCTGAGCAGGGGAAGCGGGGCAAAGTAGCTGTTCGGGCTTGCACCCATGAACTCAGGCAGGCCGGGAACTCGGCTCAGCAGGGGGAGGAAGAGGCTGCTCCTGAGAGGAACGAGAAGGCTACTTCCTGTGACTCTTGAGTGGTCCGCTGAAAGCACCTGCAGCTTGCCCTCGTGGTGAATGGCGGCATGCGGGACGCCTCCCCGCTGTCAGCAGCAGCCAGGAGTCTAGCCACCAGCCCTTGTCTTTGGTATTGGGTGGTGAAGGCCTGGCTTTACAGAGCGGCAGGCCCACGGAGGACTGTTTCCTTGGTGCACTCCCATGGGTGGGCTCTGGGCTGCCCCTTCGCCCGTCTGTCTCTTCCAAGCTCCTGGCAGACCCTTAGCCGTTGCCTTCTCATGACTATTTTCCACACCCCCTTTCTTTTCTCCCTGTTCTTTGCCCTCCCTTACTCCCCTCTGCCTTTACTGTTCTTGGCTTACCTTTGCCTTCTGCCTCTCTGGCATATGGGTTTTTGCCTCCAGTACACCTTGTCTTGCACCCCCCTCCCCATCTGTCCTCGCTTCCTCACTTTGTAAAGACTTTGTCCATCTTTCTCTCCTCAGGCCTGCTGAGGGAAATATGGAGGCATTTCCTAGTCTGTCTTTTCTTTTTTTTGAAGAGGTTTTTGCTATAGGGCGCATGCACTTGCCAGAAAGACAGAGAGAGACAGAGAGACAGAAAGCGAGAAATCACCCCCCGGGGGGATGGTCATGCCGCAATCCCTTCTCCTCCATTCTCCTCTTGGGATCTTGGGCACGCACGCACATGCGCCCGGCGTGAGTTTAAGCTACCGGGTCCAGGACGTGAACTGCGGTCGACTACATGGGAGTCCAGCGACATAGCCATTACACTAACTGCTTGTCCCCCTAGTCTTTTCTTTTGACACTCACTAAAAAATTACTCATGTCCAAGCTTCCATAAAATCCTGCCTGATTTAAGCCCTGTTTTATTTTCTCCTTCTGACTCATAGCCACTCACACTAGCTTACGGCATTTATTTCATTTAATTTCTTCTTCCGTTTACATTGTGCATGGGCCTTCCCAGAAGCATGCATTTCCGAACACACAGTTGTAAGCTCGCAACCCGAACACTACCTAATGATCACAAGCTCCTTTCGACACGATGTTTCTGGCCTGGGCCCAGCCCCCCTGTTTTTGTGCTAAGCTTTGTCCTCACTGGCTTCCTCTACTGCCTCGTCCCTAAAGACACATCAGTTGTCCAAATTAACTCTGAGCAAGCTTAGTGACTCCTAATCTTGATCTTGGGACAGGCCTTCTGTCTAATTTCTCCAATTGACTTATTAAAGATTCTTATTAGAGGGACCAGCAGATGGCATAACAGTTACATTCCTGGACTCCCACGTAGTAGACCAGGGTTTGAGTCCTGGACATGGAGGCTTAAAACTCAGTCCAGGTGCATGTGTGTGTGTGCTCAAGATCCCAAAAGGAGAATGGAGGAGAAGGGATTGTGGTGTGGCCATCCCTCGGTGGTGGTGGGGGTGATTTCTCACTTTCTGTGTCTCTGGCAAGTGTATGTGCCCTATGGCAAAAATCTCTCTTAAAAACACGATTCCTGGGAACCAGCAGTTAGCGTAATGGCTATGTCACTGGACTCCCATGTAGTCGACTACGGTTCACGTCCCGGGCCCGGTGGCTTAAAGCTCATGCTGGGCACGTGTGCGTGCGTGCCCACGATCCCGAGAGGAGAAGGGATTGCGGCGTGACCATCCCCCCTGGGGGGTGATTTCTCGCTTTCTGTCTCTCTGTCTCTGTCTGTCTGGCGAGCGCACGCGCCCTATAGCAAAAACCTCTCCAAAAAACAAAAAAACAAAAACAAAAACAAAACCACGATTCCTATTAGAAAAACCTCAGGACCTAGTGAACGGATCTCCTGAGTGATGATTACTAAATGTGGCAAAAGGAGACAGAGTGATGACAGAGTTGGCTTCTCACATTGACTGAATTTATTCTTTTACCTGTATGTGCTTTTTTAGAAGGGGAGATTAGAAGAGACAAAAGAGCTTCAGTTTGGGGTCCCCTGTACCATGTATGCCTGAGGCTAACATGCCTGCTTTTCCCCTGGACGCAGGGTTACGAGGAGGAGAAGAAGGACAGTGAATGCTGCGGGAGGTGTCTGCCGATGGCGTGCACCATTCAGCTGAGAGGAGGGCAGGTCATGACGCTGAAGGTGGGGGCAAGCGGAACTCAGGCACCCTCTCCCCTCTCACCATCTGGTTTCTTATTTGGGATCTGTTCTTCAAGAAAAACAGACTAATTTTGGTTCCGTATTGACTTTGTTTTCACCTCTTTCTGATTTGATCAAGAAAAGATGGCACACAGCTTTCTCTCTTTGATTCATTTTGTTGTTCATCGTGAGTACAGCTGGTATGTGACCTCATGATCTGGAGTGAGTTGACCTTCAAGATTTTCTCTAGTGCTCAAGAATTTGTTGAGACTGGACAGGCAGTCAGGGTGGCTCCAACTCTGACCTACGAGAGCCGAAGTAGCTGGCAGTGCTAGGAGGTGCCCCTTGTCTCTAGCTCAGCTATCTCTCCGCCAGTTCACACTTGCTGTGTCTCAGGTATGCACTACAGTGGTCAGCACAGTCTGAGGATTCTCTATACGTAGCACTGTTCATAACGAGTCCGTTGTAAACTGGATTCCACTTCTGCTCTATATTCTGAGTGTGAGAACGTTCTGTACTGTCTCCTCTTTCTCTGTGGTTCTCCAGGTTGTTTCAGCCACTCCCAAGTGTCAGGGTGTGGTTTGAAGTAGCTTCACGATGCAGACCCTACCCCTTTCCCTTGTCTTTCAGCGTGACGAGACGCTCCAGGATGGCTGTGACAGTCACTTCTGCAGGGTCAATGAGAGAGGAGAGTACATCTGGGAGAAGAGGGTCATGAGCTGCCCGCCCTTCAATGAACGCACATGCTTGGCTGAAGGAGTGAGTAGTTGCAGCTCAGACCCTTCTTTCCTCTTGATCGCCTCAGTGTTTGTGACTCTAAGAACAGAGTCCCTCTCAACAGCGTACACAGCGCAGCTCTGATGTGATTTGCCAGTGTCCAGGGCAGATCTCTGACTTAACTTAAGCATCAATGAAATGGTAAAATAAAAGCTTAATGGAGAGACAAAATTCTCTAAAGTTTAGGATGTTTTAAAAAAGAATCCTTTCCCTTGAGGGAGGCCAAATCTGTGATCCTTGAGTAGGAAGATGAGAGATCAAAATGATACCTAGTCTTCCTGGGAAAGAGGATTCTGACGACTCATTGGAAGAGAATGCAGAATCATCGAAATGGTTTAGGAACCAGCAGTTAGCATAATGGCTATGTCTCTGGACTCCCACGTAGTTGACCGCGGTTCACGTCCTGGACCCGGTGACTTAAAACTCAAGCCGGGCGCGTGTGTGTGTGTGCCCAAGATCCTGAGAGGAGAATGGAGGAGAAGGGATTGCGGCATGACCATCCCCCCTGGGGGGTGGTTTCTCGCTTTCTGTCTCTCTGTCTCTCTCTGTCTGTCTGGCGAGCGCACGTGCCCTATAGCGAAAAACCTC